AAAGCTCAGCTCCTGTACATACACTGCTAGATGATATGTATGTATACTATAGAATGTATATGTAACCATATGAGTTTATGTGTTTAGGTTTGCATTAGTTTATGTTTTTTTGCCTTTGGTTGTTGCCCTTTTGTGTTGGCATGATAGTTTTTTTATGTATTGTGGCCTGTATAGAAGTTGTGTTTTGGTTTTCCTCTGAGAGAAGGAGGAACTTCACTCCTGCATGGTGTTGTATAACTTTCAACATGTTATCTATTATGTATATTTGGAAGGCCTTGGACAAATGAACTGGCCCCATTCCCATGGGAAAGGTACTGGACAGTAGGGGTCACTCTCACTCCTTCATGGAAATCTGAGCTGAACACGAGAGTTGTATACTGACATAATAAACCTGAGTCATTAGTGCTCTCCTCCAAACACATTTATCAATAGTATGTGGTCAGTATTTGATAAAAGATACAGCAGTGTCTCTTTGAAAGGTTAGAATTTGATTTAAAAAATGATATATCAGATTGATGTGTTTTACAGCTTAGGCCTATTGCTTTGAGTTTAAAAACATATTGCATTACATATTTTGCATTTTCATCTATGACATTTATTTCAGAGTATGCCAGTGGAGGGTCGTTATATGAGTATCTATCAAGTGATGCAAGTGAAGAAATCAGCATGAGACAGATCATGACTTGGGCAACGGAGATGGCGAAAGGTACACGCAAACATGCACATACACCAGAATGTAGCTGGAGCTAATTACAAAAAAATACATTCATTATTAAAAACACGTGATGTAAAATGATACATTTGGATCATCACCAGAAATTTCCATCAATAAATAAGTATGGATTAACAACATAAATGATGAAAATTGTGAAAGTTGTGTTATGTTGCATTTAATTATAACTGCAGTAATTTCTGTCTTTGTTTACTGCAGGAATGCATTATTTACATGCGGAGGCCCCGGTTAAAGTTATCCACAGGGATCTCAAGTCCCGAAATGGTACTTTTGCCAATTCTCATGAGTTTTTCCCAGATTCTTTTTAAGTAATTCATCTTAAAATATATGATTCAGTAAATATTATGAATTCTTTGTATAAGTTACACTGCCCTCCAAAAGTTTGGAAACGCCTGAACAAAATAGGGTTTTTGGGCAATATCAGCATAAATCCTCTTTAGTTAGTGACCATTTTGCATTGATAATAAGGGACAACATAAACTATGAAAACATATTTTATTAAATAAAAAGTTTATGAACATAAACATGAACATAACATAGAAAAATACTCAAATTTTGGAT